GTTTGAGGCTAGCCTCACTTAATGAGGCCCTCAGGAACTTTCAAGATCATGTCTCAAAATTAAAAATAAAAAGGAGTGGGGGTGTAGCTTGGTCGTAAAGCACTCCTGGGTTCAATTCCCAGTACCAAAAAAAATAAAAACCCGAGAGAGAAAAAGAGAAAGAAAACCTAGTTCCTTCTTAGATTCTCTACTTCAAAAAGAAAAAATATTTCATTTTCGTATGTTATCTAAAAATTTATCTTTTAATTTTGAAATTTAAATACAATTGCTACATTTTAGTTACCTAGTCCTCTGAAATACTCTCTTTTATGTTCATTCCATAGTCCTACCTGCCCTGTTGATGTCAAAGAAAGTGAAGATTGGCTCCCAGCACAAACTTTACGAATAAACATTCCTTGTAAAGCTTCAATAACTTTTGGTTTATACACTCTGTTGGTATCACCATGGCCAAGTTTGCCTATAAAAACAATTACATTCAAGTTAAATAATTCAATGTTTAAAGAGCTTCCATTCTTTTTCTAAGTACTAAAGTTGATAAAGCGCTCTAATCTTTTCATTGCTATCTTGACAGATGTGGGAAGCTATGTTTTCTAATAGCAGAAGATGTTAACAAGTGAGCATTTTTTGCAGAGCATGGTGGCATACACCTATAATCCAAGAGACTCAGGAGGCAAAGGCAAGAGTATTGCAAATTCTAGGTCAATCTCGACAACTTAGGGAGACCCTGTCTCAAAATAAAAAGGAGTCGGGGTTTAGCTCAGTGGTAAAGCACCCCTGGGTTCAGTACCCAGTACTTCTCTCACAAAAAAGGAGCATTTATTTTATTGAGAGAAAGTTAACAACAAACAACTAATAACCTTTTGTTTTGAATGTCAAACAATTAAAATCACTTTACAGAAACAGAAAAATTATTTTTCTTTATTGCTCTGGCATAATACACAGGTTATAGACAAAAAATGTATATTCATGTAATTTAAAACTTAAAAAATATTCAATAACTTGTGAAATAGAAAAATTGGCAAACCACTGTAAAAGGAAAATAAATGCCCAAAATAAAAATGCAATCTCACTAGATATCAAAGAAATACAATTAAATGATACCATTTCATTACAGAAATTAACTTTTAAACTATCTTAATTTTTATACATACTCTTGTTAAGAGATATGGGCAAGTGAGCAATCACACTTCTGGTAGTTATAAACAAAGATTTGGTCATTTGATGCAATGTTGTATTTAATACTGAAAAATTTGAAAGCCATCTACATACTCAGTAACGAGAAATTGGTTTTATAAATCATACAGACACATAAAAGAATACTTTGAGTCTTTTTAAAAAATGATATAAAGTTAAAGTGCTGTAGAAAATATATTCATAAAATACTGTTATATAAAAACCACCAGATTATAATCTATCTATGGAATACACACAGGTCTACTTTGGTGTATGAAAAACATCTATGCAGGGAATATATGTAAATATGTTTATAAACATGTTTATATACATATATATTTTAAATCTGTCTACCAAACCATTAATAAAGTTAAAAGTACCGTTAGTAGAAGCACAGTTTATTTTAATTTTTATTTATATACTCATCTGCATTGTGGGTTTTTCTACACCAGGCATGTATACCTGGGGAAAAAAAAAGAAATAAAAGGCCAAAGCTATCCATAAATAATTTTTTACATACCATTGTCTCCTCCTCCAAAAGACCATACAGTTCTTCCATCTTTAGATAAAGCAATAGTATGTGAACTGCCACAAGAAACCTCTCCTACATTGCTAATGTCTTTTACTAATGTTGGAATGTTACGGCTATTACTATCACCATGACCTTGGGTAAAACACAAACAACAAAGAAATAATATTAACTCTTTTTGTCTAAGCCATCAATTCAAAAGTAGAATAAAAATTACAAGTTATTTTTAAGTGCAAATAAATATAAAAAACAGAATCACTTCTAACATCACCTCAACCAGTCTTCTAGGTGACTCCCAAACTGGTGCATACAAGCACTTCAATGAACCATTAGAACATTTATCTATACTCCTATCTTAGTACTAACATTACTCTGTCTTGTACCATACTCATGTCAATTTATTTTCACTATGTAGTAGATTATAAATTTCATCAACATGATGGTATGTTTCTTATCCCTAAAATCCCACGGTGCCAGGTCTTAATAGGTAAGTTCTTCCTAGATTTAATTACATTTTAAATATAAGTACAATAATCTAGGTATTATCTATAAAATTATCTTCCTCTGAGTGTAATGACTAACAAAATTAATGGCCTATTAAGTCTATTCTCCTGGTTGGTGATGTGGCTCAGTGGTAATGCACCTTGCCTGGCATACAAAAAGCCCTTGGTTTGATCTCCAATGGTGCCCAAAAAAAACCAAAACTACTCTCTCTTACTGTTTCCCAATAATCATAATCATTTCTGGTTTTCTGTGATAATATAACTTCAATTTTTAAAAAATATCTTACCTAATCTTCCAAAGTCTCCTTCACCCCATGTATATAATTCTCCATCCTCTGTGACAGCCGCACTATGTCTGTATCCAGCTGACACACAAACAACTACCTACAATGCACACAGTGAATTTGATTAGCACACAGACGCTAAAACTATCTGTTTTTAATCCCATAAACAGACAATTTAGAGATATTAATATTTACAATTCAACCAGGTATTGCCATGTACAGATGTGAAGGCTGTACTCAGGATAAGGGTGATTGACTAAGCTGTCAAGTCACAAAAAGTAACTGCAAAGGCTAGCAGGGGCCCTGAAGATGAGTCTAATCACCTGCAGGAATACAATCTCACCAATCAAGTCTTTATTCAAAGTTGAAAAGAGGGTAACACCCATGAAACAATGGATGACAATTTTTCAAATATAAAACCTCTAGTCCTGGTTTATCAAGAAAAAGTCATTACATGATAAGGATAACTTTCACAAAGGCATTAACTATTACCAATAAGAAAGAGCAAAAGCAGTATGTTAACTTATAATTTATAATTAACTCCTGATATACCTTTCTTTTTAACACCAAGGACTGAACCCAGGAGAGTTCAACCACTGAACCACATCTCCATTCCCGTTTTTCTTTATTTTGAGACAGCGTCTCACTAAGTTTCTGGCCTTAAACTTGTGATCCTCCTGCCTCAGCCTTCCTAGCCATGTGGATTATATGCATGTGCTTCCATATCTGGCTGCTCCACATCTTTTTAACCTCCAAAACTTAGAACTCACTTTATAAAATTCAAATTTGAGGTTCAATTAAAAACACTGAGCAATAATAATAAGCTAGGAAGTTTTAAAATTTTTATCTGCAAAATTTAATTTTAAATGTTGTGACAATTTTCCTTCATGATGCCCATACTATGCTGTTTTTAATTGGTAATGTTTCCATTATAAAAACGGGGCATTTGGGCTGGGGTTGTGGCTCAGTGGCAGGGCGCTTGCCTAGCATGTATGAGGCACTGGGTTCAATTCTCAACACAGTAAATAAAATAAAATAAAGGCCCACTAACAACTAAAAAAATATTTTAAAAAATGCGGCAGTCAAAGGAATATAAACGGCTGGGGATATAGCTCAGTGGTAGAGTGCTTGCCTAGCATGGGCGAGGCCCTGGGTTTACTGCCTAGAATCACAAAAAACAAGAATAAAAAAAAAATCCAGAAAATTCAAAGGAATAAAGTAAAGAAATGAAATCAAGGAAGAAAGTAAGTATCATACCAGAAAAATACAATTTCAAATCATATTATCTAAAGTTCTTTATTGCTTCATATTCAACATTTAACAAGTATCCTCTGAGGCTTTCAAAGTAGAATGTTTTGAGGCCCACTGCCTTTGGGTTGGTCAGTAAGTTATAATACTGCAAGTTATTTATTCATTTCATAGTCTCTCATGAAGGAAAAGTGTGATATTTGTAAATCTGGTGTAAAATTAAAACTTACAAAGATCTTTTAAGAAAACTTTCACGGAAAAAATGTAATCATTTAAGTGAATATAAGTTCATCTGTTTTCTTTAAAAAGATATAAAAAGAGGGAATCTACACAGCTGTGGTTGTGGCTCAGTGGTGGAGCACTTGCTTAGCCTGTAGGAGGCACTGGTTTCAATCCTCAGCACCACATAAAAGTAAATAAATAAAATAAAGGTCCATTAACAACTACAACTAAAAAAAATTTTTTTTTTTAAAAAAAGGGGATCTATGTTCAGTTTCTAATGGTGCCAATTATTTGTGTGAAATTCTAGGTAATTATTGAACCACTCTAAATGCTTCCTTATTTAAGCCTGCTAAAATGCCACCTCCTCCAAGATTATCCCTGTCCCCATTATCTAATATCACAACCAGTCCAAGTTAGTCTCTGTTACACTCCTCAGTTTTCTTCTCTAATATTATCTGAAAGTATTTTATATTATTTTATTTATCTCTACCCTGAAAATTAAAGTTCTATGAAAGCAGAGACCTTTTCTTCTCTTATTCACTGCTATATATCTAATGCCTATAACACTGCCTGCCACTTGGAAGGTAGTAAATATTTGTTTAATTAATGATTCTTAGTTTCCCAATCTGTCAAATAGGGGAAACTACCTATTAATACAAGAATTAAAACTGAGCCAGGCATAGTGGTACATGCTTATAGTTCCAGCTACTTTGGAGGCTGAAATAGGAAGACAGTTCAAGTCCAGAAGTTAAAGGCTATCTTGGACAAATAGCAAGTCCTCAACTCAAAACAATGATAAAATAAAATAAACATGTATAAAGAATTAAAATTGAGGCTGGAGATAAAGCTCAATGGTAGAATGCTTGCTTACCATGCATGATGCCCTGGGTTCAATTCTCAGTACCTCAAACTAATAATAATGATGATGATGATGTATGTAAAAGTACTGTGTAAACTATAAAGCAGACACACAAAATTTAAGCCAAGAGAGAGAGGGGCAGGCAACTTCATAAAGAATACATCAAACTCTGAAAAATATTATCAACAATAATACCACTATATCTAATTTCTTTCAAATCCAGAAAGATATCACATACCTTTCCTTGCAGAGGTCCCTGAATAAGTTTGGGATATTTCTGTGTTGAACTATTTCCATGTCCCAGTTTTCCATAATCACCATCTCCCCAACTGAAGACTTCTCCTTCTGTTGTAAAAGCTAAAGTGTGACCATCAGATCCTTTAGAAGATGAGACCTTTTTAATGGACCTGTGAGGCTCAAACGTTAACTTTTTTAAAGTAGACTGATTATTGGAATCTCCAAGCCCGAGTCTCCCATAGCTGCCTTTACCACAAGCTCTGACAGAACCATCCGTAGAAATGACAAAAGTGCAATACTGTCCAGCTTCAATCTATAAATGAACAAACAGAATCACAAATATAAAATGCTTCTGTGAAAATCAAGTAAAAAATTTAAGATTGTTTTATCAAAGAGGCTCAAAGGAAGTATTTAAAGCAGAATATGACTCTTCAAAGAGATCAAGGTAGTAAATAGAAATTAAGAAAGAATTAAAGGTATTTTCATACAGTCTACATCACTGAGCTCAAATTCATGTATAAATTTATAGATACAGAATTTTCTGGATTATCTATTAGATCATCATTGAATGAAACAACAAAGTAAAATGTTTTAGCCCCCCATAATTGGGGAAAGAAAATAAAATTTTCCTGTAAGTTCCTTAGAATTCATTATGACAAGAATCACACAAAAAACCCATTTGTGGGGGGCGGAAAGCACATTTTAATGAAAATAATAAGAATGTTCTAGCTTAGGCTACAAATGTAAAAAAAAGAAAGTGATCATAACAAGAAAATGAAATAGCAAAAATCTGGGAAAGGGAAAATTCTAGTTTTTATTTAGTCTATTTTCCATTTATGTTGAATTTAATGGTAAAATCTGTTCCTATTACTGAGGATTTTTAAAAATCCAGATTCAAATTTAATTTTTTGAAACCGGGAATGTTGTCAGAGATATGAGATTTTAAAAATGCATTTTTCTTTTGTAAAGAAAAATTCAAGAAGTGTGATATAAAAACACAAACAAGAAACAAGCAAAACTTTTCATTCAATATATGTTCTTAACATTATTTAAAGCAAGTAAGTATGAATATATACTCCATCATCTACCAATTTGTAAGGTATATACAGAACTTACAGTCTGAGCATCAGAGAAACTAGGAGCCAGTTTGGGTTGTAATATTTTCTCCTGTGTGCCTTCTACCAACTGATGGCTGCTGTTGCTCCCCCAAACATAAACCTCACAGGTTTCAGAGACAATAGGAGCATCACCAGTCTGAATGCTATCTGGGCTAGCACATGTTCTTGAGTAATCAGAAGCCATTCTACAAACCTATTAAAATTAAAAAAATATATGCAAAAAATAATCAGACCATTTTTAGTCTAGACATTTTTATTTAATATATTTTTTTAAATTTTTTCTAATTAGTTATACATGACAAAATGCATTTTGACACATCATATATAAATGGAATATAACTTCTCATTCAAGCTACATATTTTTATATATTGAAATTACTTTGCCTTTCCTTCTCGTGCCCTCATCGGCTCAAATCTAAAAATACAACCAGTCTTAAACATAGATAGCTAGAATATTTACTCTCACAGAAGAAATCACTAAAAGATATTAATAAAGGAGACAAAAAATGAAGGAGACAAAAAGGGGAAGAGGGAGAAATACAATCAAGCCTTTTTAAACAAAATTTTATTGTTGCATACAACAACATTATGAAAAAACAAATTCAAAAAAACGAAGCAGACAAAAACTACCATTGATAATTTTATTTCCTTAATACAAAATTATTTTTATTTATGTCATTCCAGAAATTTTCACATACATATTCTTTAACAGTCAATACAGCCATGAGCAGAAGTATAAAAGTGACAAAAGATACAAAAGTCTCATGCAAATTTTCATGTCAACATCATCTTTATGAATGAATAGATAATATTATAGCCAGTGTAAAAATCACAATTTACTTTACCACTTTCCTTTAATAGGACATTTAGATTCTTTCTACTCTGTTATACAGGTAGTTTTTAAAAATATAGTTATTGTATTTTTTAATACTTTTTTAGTAGAGAACCTCAGAAATGGTATATGTAAAAAGAAAAAAAGACAGCAATCTTATGATTTTTGAAACATATTATACCAAACTGCTTTCTAAAATGGTTCTATAATATTATGTTACTAGCAATGTATGAAATAAGGGCTGCCCTAAAAATAGTGAAGGCCCAGAACAATTCAACACACACATATATAAATATATGTGAAATAAAAGTCATGGCTTATTTGCCATTTGTGTTAAATGTAATGGTAAAAGTCAGTTGTCATTCACAATGTTTTTTATTAAATCTAGGCTCCTCACCAAAAGTAAAGGATTCAAGGTGGCCATTCTGGTTGCCCTAACCAAGGAATGAGTCTATGTGAAAGTAACAGTCTCACTGCATTTATACCAATAATGGGTTAAGCTTTTAAATTTTTTTTACAAATTTAATAAGGGTAAAAGAAGTATGCCATTATTTTAACTTCACATTTCTTTATTATCAGCAGAGCTAAAGTTTTTTCCATCTATTTGTTCACCACATTTTGTGAAGTGAACTAAATTTTATCCCTTATTTATTAGGGCTTATAGGGTTTTTATTGAAATATATGAACTCAATATAATTAAAATACTGACTGACTAAAGCTACTGTCAATTTGTTGTCTGTCTTTTGGGGTTTTTTGCATAATAAAGCAAAACAATAAAAGATAAATCTTAAATAGTCAATATATTCATTTTCTACCACATTAAATGGGAGCAGAGAGAATAGTTTTAGTCAGAACCTTTAAATACAATGCAAAACAATAGAATAATATGTATGTCTAGCAAATATTTTACAGTGAACATGAGTGCAGTTCTGAAGACATACAAACTATGTGCAAGTGAAAACTGCCAGTCCCTATTAAAAGATCTGAAATTTGGGGCTGGGGATGTGGCTCATGCTCGCCTGGCATATGTGCGGCCCGGGTTCGATCCTCAGCACCACATACAAACAAAGATGTTGTGTCCACCGAAAACTAAAAAAAATAAATATTAAAAAATAATTCTCTCTCACTCTCTAAAAAAAAAAAGAAAGATCTGAAATTTTTCTAAAGACATAAGAAAGATGGTGGGACCAGGAGGGTTAGAATTATTAAAGATCCCTTATTGTAAGAGAGGGCAAATCACAGCCCTCCACGATGGGGGGCATGGGGGGGAAGGAAGGAAGAAAGGAAGGAGGGAAGGGGCTGAAGAAGAAAAAAAAAAAACATACACATAGGGGCCAAGGATGTAGCTCAGTGGTAGGGAACTTGCCTGAATGACTGAAGCCCTAGGTTCAATCCTCAAGACCACAAAACAAAACAACCTCTTAGGGCTTTAAAATGCATTTTTTAAAAATAAACTGGATGTGAGGGGAATGCATAGGATTCTGTGAAGAGAGCAAGATGACAAGTAACAGCATCAGCACAGTTTTTAAACATGCCAAATCACTACCAAAAAAAAAATCCCAAGTTCATATTTAATATTCATAACAAATGACAAAGTAGCCCTAACAACCCCAAAATAAAAGTAGGTGGGGCCAAGCCATCTACTTAGTAACAGTATCTGTGCAGGAGGAAGTAATGGAGTGTCTAATAGACCTTAGAACAGGAGGAACCCCAAACAGCCAATCAGATTCTCATTAGAAAGGGTAATAAACCACTGGGGATGGGCCACATGTCTGTAATCCCAGTAGCTCGGGAGGCTGGGACAGGAGGATCTCGAGTTCAAAGCCAGCCTCAGCAACTTAGCGAGGCCCTACAGCAATTTAGAAAGAACCTATCTCTAAAAGGGTTGGGGATTTGGCTCAGTGGTTTAGCCCCTGGGTTCAATCCCCTGCATAAAATTTTTAAAAAGACAAAAGACAAAAAAAGAAAGAGTAATAAGCCCATTTCAGAACAGCATCTACAACTGGAAAGAGTTCTGCAGTTCTGTGAGGAACTAACTATTAGGGCTCTGTGATGAGTTTTGTGGAAATAATCTTAACTCTTGTGAACTTGAAAAATTAATAAGCCAGGACTCCCTTCCAGGACAAAACCCTCTAAACCAAGGAGAGACTAGGAGCAGTGGAATCAAAAGACAGAAACAGAGATGAAAGAAGGAGAAGGGGAAGATAAAAGTTGAGGGGAACAAGAAGTTGGGAAAACCGCCCCCACCCCTTTTAACCCATGTAGAAACAACAGAAAAAGAGTGTCTATGAAGATGTCAGAAAGGCTACAGTGAATCCCAAACCATTCAGAAAGTTCAAGAAAACTAAATTTCGCATAAAAATAAACAGGAAAGTACTGAGTCCAAATCCGATATGAAGTTATTATAAGAAAGAAAGGGAAAAGAAGAATCCCTATAACAAAAGCACAGCAAGAGTTGCCCAATAAACAGAACAAAATGTAATCTAATTCAAAACCAGTTAAAAGGGATTAGAAAAATGCAAACAATATATGAAAGAAAAAACACAAATCTGAATTACAAATACTCAAATATTAAGTGACATAACTCAAGAAAGAATTTTTTTTAATTTCAGAAATGAAAACTAAAATAGAAAAAAATCCAAGCATACATTGTACACTATTCCCTATGAGTAATGAAAGATGAAAAGGAAGATATTTGGGGTTGAGGATAAAG